TGACACACTATTTCTGCATGCCACAAATATAATCTTCCTGTTTGCAAATCAACAATATCAATGCTCTCTCTTTTTTACCTTTTAATTAGGGTTTGGTTTTTTTTTTCTATAATACCTCAGTGGGCAAAAGAGACGGGTAGTGGCTCGGTATGTAATGCTCCAGAGCTTACGTGGATTGATTTTTCAAAAATAAGGGGTTTATACCACTTACTTGGTCTATTTAGCAGGACTGTGTGTGCACTGCCTAAATCATATTCCATACCTTGCTTCTTTTAAAGGAGTGAAGCTTGGTTGCTAGTAATGAAGTTATTACCATGGGTAAATACTCACTTTTTTTTTTGGTTTTGTTTTGAGGGAGGTGGATGCATTTTCTCCACCTTTTAAATACCATCATCCCACTAAGGCAGACTTTCAAATGAATTTAGAGCCAGACTCCTCAGGGATCAGCGCTGGGGAAAGTGTTTAAAAGCCTCCAGTGGAACAATTTTCTATTGGAAATGAGATTTCGCTGTGGCTAAATTTCCCACGAGATCCCTTGATTTCAACAGCATTTTGACCAGGCAAACAAACTGCAAACAAGCCTGCTGCTAAGGGTAAAGCCTTCTTATGGGGCACTGCAAAGAGAAAAACATAAATATTTCAGCTTTGAAATAATGTTCACTTTGAAATGACATGCAAGGGTAAGATGGAAGGGGCTGATGTGTGGTGAGCATCCTCGGGGGGTGAGCCCAGCCCAGGGGATACCCCCGGCTGCAGCCTGGCCGCAGCGTCCCTCACTCCTGTGGGCGCTGGGACAGATGCTGGGTGACATCTGGATGCCAGTTGATGTCTTCTGGCCTCGTGTTGAGTGTTTGGCTATAGCAGAGCCCAGCCTGGTGTGGGAGCACCCGCATCCCTCCCCGCTCAGGAGGATGCTTGGCCCAGCACCCTGGCATGGCGAGGGGGGAAGGAGCCCCTGGTCCCCTCTCCTCGCTGTGCCGGGAGGGTGGTGGGCACCATTTCAGAGCAGGGCTGGTGGCAGCTGGCAGGGAGAGGTGTGAGGAGCCTCTCGGCCCCCTCCCCAGCCCGGCAGCCAGCGGACAGCCAAGAAGAGCTATTTCAGGCAGGGTAAACAGGATGCCTCGCTCCAGAGCCGGCCACCTCCACTCCTCCCTCCCGCCACCGGGTAAACAGTCCAGCCCAGGAAAAGACTCACACACAACCTCACAGCTGTTTCCACGCCGCTGGCCTGGATCTACCCAAGAACCTGGCCGGGGTTGAGCCGAGCTTTGCCTAGCCCAAGCCTGGGCTCCCAGTGGCCTGGAAGCGTGCGGGGACCGGAGCGATCCCAAGGCATGGATCCACCTCGGCAGCGACTCCCCAGAGCCGCCCTGCAGCTGGGAAGAGCCTGAACGTTCTGGCCACGATGCCACGTCCTCCCCCTTCCTCCTCCTCTTCCTCCCTCGGTCACACCCCAGCTGCTGGCAGTGCCCAGGGCTCTGGGAACGATGGAGGCAAGGCCTTTCCTCCGGCCGGATCCTGCCCAGGCAGCGCACGGAGGATCCTGCGAGGGCTGTTTCCGCCTGTTGCTCTCAGGAGAGGAGCTGCAGCAACAGCAGAGGAAGGAGGAGCTTTTCCACCGCTTCCTCCAGCTCCCCAGCCCCGGCTGTTTCCCTCCCTGGCCGGGCAGCCCCAGGCCTGGGAGCTCCCCCGGGCCCAGCAGCACCCCGTGGATCGGCCGTTCCGCCCCGGCGGAGCGTGTGCGAGGGGGTTTTGCTGGGTGGGTGCGGCGGTTCTGGGTCTAACATCCCCCTCGGAGGGTGCCCGCCAGCTCCCCAGCGATGCTGGGCGATCTGGGAGATGCCAGCCCCCTCCCGGCTTCCCCCACCCCAGCCCTTGGTCCAAAATCTACGGCTGGGGAGTGTTTGAAGGCAGTTTGAGTTTTCCCATCCCGTTTAACTGCACGGTGAGAGCTGCCCGGAGGCTGGGGGGGTCAGGGGCCCCTCGCCTGCCTCCCGCTCTGCCCCACTGGTTCCCACGGCCACCCTGCACCTTGGCACCGAGAGGAGCTCAGGGTTGGGGCTGGCGAGGGCCCGAGCGTGAGGGCGCAGGTAGGAAGGGAGGAGCGGGTGTTGCAATCGCCCCGTGAAGCAATGTCAGGAGTGGAGGAGGCCGGTGCCAAGACGGAGCTGGTTTGCCTGGCGCCAGCAGCGGCGGGAGCTGGCGTGGGGCCCTGCAGCATGTGCGGCGGGGGCACAGCGATGCTGGGGGGGCACAGCGATGCCAGGAGGGGCACAACAATGCCATGTGGAGGGGCACAGTGATGCCATGGGGGGGAGCACAGCGGTGCCATGCAGGGGGTGGCACAGTGATGCCATGGGGGGGAGCACAGCAGTGCCATGTGGGAGGGACACTTATGCCACGTGGGGGGGGCACAGCGATGCTGGGGGGATGCACAGCAGTGCTGGGGAGGCTGGGGGGGGCACACTGATGCCACGTCGGGGGGACACAGCAATGCCGGGGGGGATGCACAGTGGT